TATGGGCAAACTGCAGCTCAGAGAGGCAAATAGTTGCAAAATCAATGGATTGCATATCCTGTCAATATACACTGGGCTGCTCAAAGGGGAAATGGTGTGCTTGATCAGCCTGGGTTGCTGAGGGGCAGAGGAAGGCTCAGTTACTAAAGTTGTCCCGCTCAGCAGTGTTGCCACTTGCATCACTGATGACCCGCAGATGATTGACATGCATTTTGAAGTAGTGCAAGCTAGTGGGAACGACCATCGTGCAAAAAAAGAAGCGATTACAAGGGAGTATTGAAAAGATTCACTTTCATAGTGGGAACGATGGACCTTTTGGAATTGATTCACCAACATGGAGTAAAGGCGAATTGCAAATCAGTTCAAATGTACCGTATTTTCCGGCGTATAAGACAACTTTTAAACTCAGGAAAATCTGGGGTTAAAGTCAGGGGTTGTCTTCTATGCCGGGTGGAGGAGGAAGAATAAGAAGGGGTGGTGCAGCGAGGAAGTCCAGGTTAGAGGGTGGGGGGAGAACCAGGGTCCAACTCCCAGCCATGGAGACCCACTGGATGACCTTGGGCAAGTCCCAGTCTCTCAGCCTCAGAGGATGGCCAGGGCAAATCAACCATTTTTGCAAGAAACTTCCCAAGAAAAGCCTATCCTGGGGTCGCCTTAAGTTGGGGGACAACTTGAAAGCGCACAATAAGGCAAGCAAAGCTTAGGCGGGATGAAGGGGAAGGGGAAGGCTATATATCCCGGGACGATGCTGCTCCTGCATGCCTCCGTCTGCCCTTGGGCGCCCGCACTGCACCATCCCAAGCGCGGCTTCTGACATTAGTGCTCTTTTCTTCTTAATTCTGCATCTTTCCTCCCCGAACAGATGTAGTCAGATCCGTCAAAAGAAATCACCCACAAAGCACAATGATTAAGCACTAAATGTCACTTATGAATCTGTGATATTTTTAATACTAAACCCAACACAAGTTGGCTAGAATTAATTTTCTGAACAAAAGTGACTCAAACATTATGTGCATCATGATATTGTTGCACTGATTCCAACATAGCAGATGGCTGGAAATCAGTTGCATTGGCCCCTTTGTATGGCTGGAGTCATTTCTTGTTGTTGTGGTATGCCTTCAATTTGTTTCTGACTTATGGTGACCCTCTCATGGGGTTTTCTTGGCAAGATTTGTTCAGAGGAGGTTTGCCATTGCATTCCCCTGAGGCTGAGAGAGTGTGACTCGCCCAAGGTCACCCAGTGGGTTTCCATAACCTAGCAGGGATTCAAACCCTGGTCTCTACAGTCATAGTCCAACCCTTAACCACTACATCACGCTGGGTCTCTGAAGTCATATATGCCTATTGAAAATATAAAGTATGGTGCAGTGTATTCAATATTATTGTTTCTTTGTCACTCTTCAGAAAGTTTCCCAGGCAGCTTATAAAACTGAATAAGAAAACTAAAATGCAATTTATAGTCTACAGATTACAGTAAAATTACATTCTTAAAGCGTAGTATAAAAACCAGCATAATATCATAAGTATAGATAAAACAGATTGTATTGTATCAAAAGGCGTAGGTGAATTTTAAAAAATTAATCAAGGCACATAGGTCCTTTCTCCAGTAACCACCCATCACATTTCAGATGGTGATGATACCTAGCGATACCTAGTGGCCTTAGGTAAAGAAATTAGAAACAGTCACTCTTTTAGGTACCTTGTTCCCAAGCCATAAAAGCTTTAAAGCTCAAAACCAGGACTTTGAATGGAGCCTGCCAGTGGACTGGGAGCCAGTGCAGTTGATGAAACACTGTGCTGATTCTGTGGAATGGCTGAGCACAGGCCTTTAGAACAACAACTACAGTTTGTGGGGAATGCTGCAGTCCAGCTATATGATGCAACTTTTAGTCTCTGTTGGAATTTGTATTAAGCTTTCTGGTCTGGAAAAACAAGTTTGTCTTTCTTGTTCCACACCCACTGACTAAATTTCTTTTCTTTTTTGGAAATGCTGCATCTCAGGAGAAGAAACATTATCTCCTTCTAATTCCCTTCTGTATTGCTGAACTGTATCATCTGCTGCCTGGCTCTTGCTGAATTGAGGACAGATTGAATATTCCGTGGCCTCTTTGCTTTTTGAGGCAGCACAACTTTGGGAAGCTGCGCTTTGAAGGCTGGCACTACCGCACACTGAACATCTATTGTGCTGCTGGGATAGTGCATTGCTTTGCCATTTCAGCCCACTGCTGGCAAGACCCAGTTTCTCACAATCCTGGCTTTGTATTGCCTCTGTCCTGGAATGACGGATACGTGAGGCTTGCTTCTATGGCTGTGGATCTTGAGTACAGTATGTTAACCCCTGTGGAGTTGCTACTCCTTTTGAAAAGCAGACTTACAATTCATGCAGCACTCCAAAGATCTCTTTTCCCCTTTCCCAGTGGCAGCTCTTTAGACATTACCTTATTATCCTTTGTACAAATAATTTTGGCTTGGACAGGGGAAATTAGGTTTCATTATTGTATAATAACCTAGTTCTCTGCTACAGCCTGTCCTTGGAACACAGACATTGCCTTACTTCAATTCCCTCATCAACATAGGAGCAATATATTAAGAAAAAAAGTACTTAAATTTTATTTTTCTCTGTTGTGAGCTGACTGTAGACATCTGGTGATGATGTCTTATTTTACAGGCCCTGTCCCATTGGGTGTCCTCTTTAGGTATCTATAAGTACACAATTATGAAAACTTTTAACCACATTAGTGAGTCTTAGTAGATGTATCCTACTAATTCATATTCTTACAACTTTGATTTTTCACTATTGATGAAGCACAGGGATTGTCCCTGTGCAAAGTCATACTAGAAAAAGAGCAAGGTGAAATACAATTGAGACAGTATATGTGTGCCTAGATCAGCTAGGAACCTTATGCTTTGCACACCTGCCCATTTCTGTTGCCTTGGGGGAACTGGTGGAAAACCACTGGCATGACAAAGACTCCAGATCATGTTCTCTATTTCCCAGATCCTCTGGAGCAGGGGTAGGCAACCTTTCCCCTTTAAGGGCCGAGGGACTTCAGCTCCCAGAATCCTAGGAGCTATTGGCTAACATGGGACTATTGGCCAACATGGCTGAGGCTTCTGGGAGCTGAAGTCCCTCGGCCCTTAAAGGGGAAAGGTTGCCTGCCCCTGCTCTAGAGCAATGATGGCAAAGCTTTTAGAGACCAGGTGCCCAAACTGCAACCCAAAACCCACTTATTTATTGCAAAGTGCTACGTCCCTCTGGCTTTCTAGTAACAAACACTGGCAAACTCTGTGTTGGGGCAGCAACGCATGTGTCCACAGAGAGGGCTCTGAGTACCATCTCTGGCACGCGTGCCATAGGTTTGCCACCACTGCTCTAGAGGAATTTGGTAAATAGATGTGGCATTTGAGAGATTGAAGAAGCAGCTATGGAAGGCACTAGAAAGGCAAACTGACCACAGTTCTTTCCAGTGATTCATCAAGGAAAAGGCTGCACTAAAGGGGTATTGAGAGATGTTGGTGAACAGAGTTTATATACAGTTGGCCCTCTGTATCCACAGAATCAACAATCCATGGTTTGAAAATACCCCCCCCCCCAAAAAAAAAACACCATGAAAAAGCAAACCTTGATTTAGCCATTTTATATAAAGGACACCATTTTTCTACCCCATTATATTTTCCTGTATTGGGACTTGAGTATCCTTGGATTTTGGGGAGGTCCTGGAACCAAATCCCAGCAGATACCAAAGGCCCCACTGTACATGTTCATGTCCTTACCTCTGGTTGTAGCACTGTGTATGTTCAGGTAAATTCATAACTTGTATTTAGGTGGCAGACCTTTGATCATAATTTGGTTGGAAGACAGAACTAATTTCACAGCATTCACACAAGGACAAGATTGGAAATCAGGTGAAAGAAATTGAGACTATTGTTTGTAGGGAATTACTTTAAGAAGATTGGATACCTTTCCAGGATCCCATTTCAACATAGGAGATATGCATACGGGCAAAAAGGGGTGCTTTGAGGGTGACTTGTAGGTGTGGCCTTTAGATGACGCACGCCTAAAAGTCTCCAGGAAAGTGCCCTCTAGCTGTCGTTTGCCAAGAAAAGCCGTTTCAAAAAGGACCCGCATTTTTCCGCTCCTTTGGTGAAGATGCGCACCTTCGCATGGGTGTATGTATGAAGCAACACTGATGCACCAGAAAACAGCCATATAAATGCACTGTCATACATGTGTTGGAAATTGACTTGGCAATCCAGAGCATGCACCCTACGATGCAAGCTTTAATTTAAAGCACCCTATGCTTCTAAGTGTGGATGCACTGGGGCAGGTACGCTTGAATATTAGAATCCTAATTGTAACCCTAACGCTAACCCTAATTGTAACCCTACACATGCGCCCTAACAACTGTCCTCTATTATGATAATAAATGCATTCTGTTGGATGTTCTTTTGCTGTCAGCATGCACAGCAGTTTTCATGAAATAGGCTTTTATTACCTCTTCTGCACAGGTGTGCAGGCATGCATAAGACCTACGCACCACTTCCTGTCATGATGGGGGGGAGCTCCTGGAGTAACATTTGTCCATGTGTCCTGTTGACCATGTTCCTTGCATGACCACCAGCTGCATGTATCAAGTCTGTCCACACAAACCTCCCTTGCATGTACCTCTTCCCTCTCCCCTGATCTGTGTGGCACATGTTTTTGTGGAGGATGATGAAGTGTCTTTTCAGTTGACAAACCTGTTCCTTCTCCTCAAGGGTGGCACAATCAGACAGTGGCACATGTCAACTGTGCCCACTCTTTGGGGGGAAGCAGAGGTCATTGAATCCTTGCATGATATGTGGGTGTATGACAGAACCTGTGCAGGTGCACAGGGATGCCGAATTTCAGTTACCTTTGTACAGCGAGAGTGACAGAGTGTATACCTCCCTATACTGTTGCTGTTTTAACTTTTGTTGTTTAATACTATTTTAAGAGTTGGGTGGGTTTTGAGATTGTATATTTTGGTGTTTTATTGATGTAAGCCGCCCCGATTGCATTTGCAGAGGGGTGGGATATAAATTATTATTATTATTATTATTATTATTATTATTATTATTATTATTATTACAAGTCCTATGCAGGTGCACAGGGATGTCTTCCTGCACACATGTGCAGGTGTGGAAAGATGGTCCTGTGCACCTGCGCATGCAAACAACAACAAAAAAACATTAAAGCAGCCACTGCCGGTCCATGCGGTGCTCCGTCTCCCTTTGCAGCATCCTTGGGGCTGGCAATGCGGTTGCTGTGGCTTCAGTACAGCCTTGGAAAAGCTGCATTGACTCCCCCCATTGTGGTTGCTCCGTCCCCATTTAGAGCAACCTCAGGGCAGGCAGTGCGGTTGCTGAAGCTTAGGGAAAAGGCAACTTCAGGTCACCTTTTCCTGCCCGTCTGCATAGCCCCATAGTCTTCAGGATAACTTAATGAGATCTTGAGAAGAAAACCTATGTTCAGGGGAATTACTATGAGGAAATGTACCTTGAGGAAGTCTATGTCAGGATCTCTGCTTCAGCAAGTGAGAAACTCATATGACCAGTATTGGGCATTCTGGGGAAAGGGTCTGGCAACACTCCAGGTTTCATGGTAAAAGTCATTTCAGAAAACTGTCCTGTCTAGGATTGAGAGGAGGAACACTGGTCTGCAGAGTGCAATTTAAAAAGTGACCCTTTCATTATCCTAAAATGTAATGCTGTAGCAAGCAGATGAAAGACCAATGAGAGTATTTGTGTTCCACAACAGATATGCTTTCCATCCTTATTCCTTTCAACTAGTCACATAACTTCATTTGTGTCTGATGGGTCTCTGTCCCTAGACACCCCCAGTGTGTCTGCAGGCACATCCTCGGACATTCCTAATTGCTTCCTTTTGGCTCTTCTTCATTCTGCATATCTACAAAAATGGTTTTTGTCTTTATGGATTTTTTTTAGTAAGTAACAGCAAATTGGGTAGGGTGACAAAGGATAGTTAAATGTTCAAGGGGAACAGAAAAGTTTTAGCAAGCATTCATATTTTTTTCTTATTGAGATAGATCAAGTGTTCTTTTATTGTAACAGGAACTATATAATCTAGTTTTAGATTCCTGCTGTCAGCTAGTTCAGTTGTGTGTATGTGTATGTATATGTGTGAGAGAGAATGATGAGTGATGAACGAACATGGCTGTTAATTATCGTTTTTTAATTGCAAGCCAAGCAAAGATTGTAAGATAGGATCTTCAAAAACAAGTGTCTACTTCTTAGTTGTTTTTTTTAAGAAGTTGGGTTCTAGCAATCTTTGGTATAA